CGGCCGGTGACGATGGCCGACTTCCGGTCGCGCTGGCGATTGCGCGTCACCTTCTGCAGCTCCGCCATCAGCAGGCCGCAGCTGTCGTCCTCGTCCTCCGCCGCCGCCGCCCCCGCCGGCATCGAGGTCGAGGAGGAGGGGGAGGACGGCTTGCCGTGCTCTGCGAGGCTGATGAACCTGGACAGGTAGTGGTACCGCCGGTACACCTGACTGACGTTCCGATTGGGAAAGTACATCCGCGTGATGAGCGGAATGTCGATGAGCCGCCGCTCCTCGCCGCCGTCCCTCCCCTTGACCACCTTCGTGTACGACTGGCTCATCTTCAGGATCAGCTCGTCCTCGGCGGCGATCCACGCGCCGAACTTGCGCCGCTGGGCACAGTGGCCGGTGGTGATGCTGCTGCTGCCAGTGCCAGTGCCAGTGCCACTTCCCGAGCTGAAGGCAAACTCCAGCTGGCTCTTGTAGCGCTGTCGGACCTGGCGGTTGTTGCGCAGCGGCAGGTACTGCGCAATGCGGCTCCAGCTGCCATCCCCCCAGAGCTTCACGCCCGCCAGCAGGACCTTGTCCTCCAGTCGCAGCCAGGGCCGGACGACGGTGGGGCAGAGGCGCTTCCGGTGGAAGTACTGCACCTGATTCAGCGTCCGCCCCTCCACCAGGGCGGCCACGTTGCGCCAGTCGATGCGCCCGGTGACGGCGCACTGATAGGCCTCGATGATGCGCACCATCTCCTCCGCCTCCTCGCCGACGATGGGGCCGCTCTTCTGCAGGCGTCGGTTGAAGGTCGCCTGGTAGTGGGAGCAGCACTGCCAGGCGAGCCGGCCGGTGCCCAGCCGGCAGGCGATCCGGTCCCAGTCGGGGTGGCTGTTGTCCTCTTCCTCGACCAGCTCCTTCAGGCGGGCCGCCTCCTCCACCGACCACTCGCCTTTCGGAATGGACTGGTGGAGGTAGTTCAGGTACTGCAGCTCGGCGTCGTCGGCGGTCCGCTCCGGGGGCAGCTGAAAGTTGAAAAAGTGGAAATTAGAAATGAAGGAATTTATTGAAATCACAGTGTGCCCACGCTTACCTGTTTGGCCACGACCATCCAGTCAATGGCCCGCATCGCCTCCTCGCCTCTCTCCGGCTCCGGATCGCCACCGGATCTGGCCAGCGCCAGCTGATCGTTGAGCTGCTCGATGCGCTTCGTCACTTCGGCCGTAGGCCCTTGCTGCCCCTGTTCATTGCTTTCCAGCAGGCGGGTCATCTGCTCGACCAGCTCTCGATTGTGCACCATCCTGTACTGGCTGCGCACCTCCTTCACTATGGTCTCCCGTTCCGCTTCAGTCCACTGGTTGTGGTGGCCGCCGCCGCCCCCTCTGGAGCGCATCGACAGCAGGTCGACAAACGCCGGACTGGGACTGTAGAGTTCGGTCTTGCAGGGGGGCGCCGACATGCCCAGGCTGTCGCGAAAGTACGGCCGCGTGAAGGGAATCAGCGAGACGGCCTTCTTCTTCTGAGCAGTGTTGGTGGTGGTGCTGATCATCGGTGGTGGTGGTGGCTTCATCTCCTCCTCCTCTTCTTCAATCTCCTGGTCTCCATCGCCATCCACCGCGTCCAAATCGGCGTCCAGCTCGTCCAGCTCCTCCAGCAGCCGAGCCCGTCTGTTCTCCAGCCGCTGCACCAGCTGCTCGTTGAGCTCCAGAGCCCGTGCTATCTTCCTGAGACGGTCATGATTCGAAGCGGCATTCAAGGTGGCCTCCTCCGCCTCCTCTTCGGTGGACTCCATCGGAGGTGCTTTGGAAGTTCGCTTCGACAACAGAATCACGCTTCAATGTTTTGAGAGGTGAGTGCGCCCATTTCCACAGCCAGTGCTGCTGCTGCTGCTGCAGCTGTGGCTGTTTCCACTGATGCACACTGATGCACATCATCACAACAACAAACACAAAATCAGCAGCGCAGAATCTTGATCTTTCACCTGATTGCATCAATCACCGGGACCAGAACTCTCTTGAAGACCACTGATCTGTGATAGCCACCGTACTCATTACCATCATCATTACCTCCACCCCCTCATCAATATCCTCACTGTCGACCAGTTGACCAGCGACTGCTGCTGACACGTCAGCAGAACTGAGATGGAGCACTTTACCTCTGCCTCGCGGCTGATCAACGAGGTGCAGGAGTCGCTCTTTCCGAAGCTCGAGTCCTGCCACGATGCCGCCAGCCTGGGCGTGATCGAGGGCGCCATCGACGAGCGCGTGAAGCAGCTGGAGGCCATCCTCGACCGGCTGGAGATGTCGGTGAACAAGGCGACGCCGGCACAGCGCAGTTCGCTCAAGTTCAAGCTCGACCAGCTGAGGTGAGTCCAAAGAGATCAGTCGAGTTCACTCCCTAATCATCTTCTCCTTCTGCAGACAGGAGCACCGCCAGCTGAAGACGACCCTGGGCACGATCCACCAGCGGCGACTGCACCGAGAGCGGGAGCAGCGGGAACGGGAGGAGCTGCTCCACCGGCGATTCACCACCAACGACAGCCTCCACCAGCGGTCGGGTCTCTTCGGTGCTGACCAGCACCAGCAGACCACGAACATCGAGATGCCGAACAGCAGTGAGCAGTACTTCAGCCAGGAGGGCGACCGACTGCACGGCTTCCACCGACAGGTGGACGACATGCTGGCGCAGGGGGCGGCCGTCATCGGCAGCCTCCGGGAGCAACGGGCCAGTCTGCAGTCGGTGCGCAGTCGAATCGTCGAGGTGCTGGGCACGCTGGGCCTCTCCAACTCGGTGATGAGACTCATCGAGAAGCGGGTGCTCACCGACCGCTACATTCTCTTTGCCCTCATGGCCCTCTTCACGCTCTTTATGTTCCTCGTGTGGAAGTACCTCACCTAGGGGACCACCACTGGGAACACTCAATCACTCGCTCACTCAATTCCGCACACACTGTACATACATCCTCCAAACAGCAACAGAACAAGTCTTTTTAATTGCTTCAGCAATCCTCCCCTCTACCTACGCATTGTTGAAGAGGAAGCTGAGGTAGCTGTTGAGGTACCGGCCGATAAAGTGATCGGACACCTTGCCCCTCGGCTTGGTGCCCACCGGCGGCAGCGACTGCTTGCACACCTTGCCCGTCGGCGGGAAAATGTTCCGCGGACACATCACCGAGGCAACGCCGCCGAAGGTCTTCTCGAGGAAGGAGCCGAAGCGGGTGGCCGAGTCGGCGCCGCACTCCTCTTCGATCCTCTGCCGAGTGCAGTCCTCCCAGGTGTTGTGGCCGCAGCAGAGCGAGTCGATGCGCTCGTCCACCATCGTCCGATTGGCGACGTAGTCGAGGGCGGCGATGTACGGCGAGTTGCACCGGCCCTTGTACGCCGGCCGCGAGAGGACCTTGTCGTGGATGCACGGCGAAGACTGCAGGAAGACTGACCAAAAAGATGTGGGTGAGTTCTCATAAACACTTTTACCAATCTTTTTTTGCTCCACTTACTCTGCCTCTCGGGGCCCTTGTCGCAGAACTTGCGCAGCGTCGCCGAGAAGTACTCGATGCTCAGTTCGTAGACCTCGCGCTGCAGCGGCGTGGCGCACTTCTTCAGGTAGCCCTTGACGCACTGGAGAATGTCGGTGACGGTGCTGCACAGCTTCTCCAGGCCCTCCTCGCTGGTGATGATGGAGCTGGGGCTGGGGCCCCTGGCCAGCACCTGAATGCGGTCCAGACAGGCGTCGATCTCCTTCAGGTGACACGTCTGCTGGTCCTGCTGGGCCGACTTGCGGCTCGAGGAGCGGCTCTTGGCACGGGACGCCCGATTCGAGTGACCGGTCGGCCGGTGGGCATCCATCACACAGACACAGGCGATGACCAAGAGAAGAAGGAGGAGAAGGAGTGATCGGGGGAACATTGCGAGGGATGATTTGAGATCAGAAAGGAGGGAGAGAGGATGATCGGAGTACTGGTCGGTGGGGAGATCAACTGGGGAGAGGAAATGCAGCAGTTCTCAGAACCTGGTCAGCATCATCATCATCGATGTGCTGGTTTTAGTGGTGAACACTTGTGTCTACTGCTGTGCTGTGCACTGGATGACCGTCTGAGGAGGACTGAGACTTGGCCAGCCACTCCACTGGAGCAGCACTCTTCTGTGCCAAACTTGGTCAACGCACTCTTTCTCACCCACTCAGATGATGGTGATGCTGATGAGGGCACAGAGATAGCAAATGTGGAGAGGAAGGAAAAGAGACAAAGCGGAACAGCAGACAAACAACAAGAACGGGAAAATGTGTGCACTCTTCTATTGTCTTGCACACACTGACTGACTGAGTGAGTGCACTCCAGTGATCAGCAGTCGCTGATTAGCAGACAGGCAGGCAGGGCTGGCAGGGAGAGAGAGATAGGCGAATGCTAATGGCGATGCGAAGAGCACTTTTACTTTCAGAAAAGGGAGGGAGGGAGGGAAGACAATGAACAGATGCTAATGAGATGCAGATGATATCGCCAGCACCACTGCTTTCTTTCCTGCTTATCAGATGCTCCACCATTGCAGGACACTGTCGCTGTTGTTGTTGACTGTAATTGGCCATTGTGTGCTGCACTAGTTGCACTAGTTGCACCAGCGGCCATCGAGGAGGCACTTGCCGATGAACCACTTCTCCAGCAGGTAATTGCTGATGGTGGGCGCCACCAGGTCGCTGGGCGGCGGCTCGATGCTGGTGCTCGGCAGCAGACGGCGGTTGTGCCACCGACTCAGCTCCTCCAGGTAGGACGCCTTCAGAACTGCCTTCAGCGGCCCGCTCAGACAGTGGCTGCAGATGTCGCACTCGTCCACGGTGGAGCAGGCACTGTCCAACAACAGGCCACCATCCTCACCGGTCAGGTTGCCAGTGTGGCACTTGGCCGAGCTGCAGATCTCCGGGAGGACGGAGAGGTCGCGCTCCAGGAGGAGCATGTCCCACCGGGTCGCCCCCGAGGGCATTCGGTCCCAGTCTCGGGCCCTCGTTTGCCCGGGCAGCCTGGTCAGTCCGGTGAGAGAGAGGAGCGAGTAGAGCACCGGCTCGTAGATCTCCCGGTTGGGCGGGTACTTGGCGGAGGCCATATTGGGCGACATGTTCGCCTCCATCAGGTAGACCTGCAGGTCGGCGTCCAGCGTAAAGTCGAAGCGGACCATCTCGAAGAAGTTGGTGCTCTTGTGCGGGTACATCTCCGCCAGCTGGCCCATCTTCCCCTCCATCATCTGGTAGATGGTGCGAATCGACTCCTCCATCTGCGACCACACCAGCGCCGGGTCCTTGCCCAGGACGGCGGTGATGTAGGCGTTGAGGGAGTGTTTGCTGTTCAGCTGCTGGCCGACAAAGTAGGGCGCCAGGGAGGGCATCAGCCAGACGGGCGTGTACCGGTCGCCGACGACGTAGCCGTCGAGGAGGGAGGCGTTGAAGGAGGGCACCGGGTAGGGCTCGGCACAGAAGCGCAGCAGGGCGTCATTGTCGTAGACGTACACTCGAAGCGGATTCAGCGAGGTCATCGTCACGTACAGGCCAATGTCGAACTTTCTGGAGAGGAGGAGGAGAGGTGGAATAAGTTAGTGTTCTGAATAGCTGAATAAGCAAATTTTGATCAACACTTACTTGCCGTCAATGAGCAGCGGCCGGTCGATGTACTCCTGGACAAAGGTGCCCGTCTGCGCCAGGTCAATCTGCTCGGTGCTCACCACCCGAATGCCCCGGTGGTTGTTGTCCTTCTGCACCCACATCTTGGCGGGGTGCTCTCTGGCGTACTGCAGAAAGCCCTCCGCCTCTCGGGGCAGATTGAAGGCCTTGGGCACGTACTTCAGTCCCGAGGTGGCCAGGTTGAGTTTGTTGGTGATGAAGCCGGAGCCGGGAAAGTGATTTACCTTCTGCAGCGGGCTCAGCTGGGGCAGGTTGAAGGAGGCGCTGAAGGGGTAGTCGTGCGACCAGAGGACGTCCCAGCGGGGCGGTGGCCGGGTGGAGGCGATCACCTCGTAGCCCACCTCCTCGAAGACCTTCATCACGTGGGCCAGGTAGCCGTGGTGCATCTGCAGAAAGGGGAGATCAATAGGGGTTAGCGTTTTTGAAGGAGTGCTTTCCCTGGCAACCGTACATTGGGGCCGGTGACCCAGGCAATGGGCCTGCCAGCAGTTCCTCCTGCTGCCCTTGCATCCTTGTTTGTCTGCTGGAGGATGATGGCTGCCAGCAGTGCCAGAATGAGCACCAGCAGACCGGTGATCAGGGCACTCGGCCTGAAGGGCGAGGGAAGGGGAAGTGGTGGGGATGGAGATGGCGATGATGATGAGGGTGTCGCCTGCTTTCCACTGCTCTTTGCCATTCTTGATGCTGTTGATGTTGTTTCCACCAGTGCCGATTCAGTGCTCTCTCTCTCTTNTGGAGAGGGAAGGGGAAGGGGTGGTGGAGATGAAGAAGATGATGATGATGATGAGGGTGTCGCCTGCTTTCCACTGCTCTTTGCCATTCTGGATGCTGTTGATGTTGTTTCCACCAGTGCCGATTCAGTGCTCTCTCTCTCTTTTTCCGATGGCAAAGCAAAGCACCGAGCAGAGTCTGCTTAGTGGGCCAGTGCAATACACACTCTCTGTTCCGCCAAACCGGTTACGATGATGCTCACCTGTGTTCACTTTTGTTGCTCTCTTCTCATCTTCTCATCTTCTCCGCTATTAAGCATCCCCCTCACACATTGCTGATGTGCACACAATGCTCTCATTTACCGAAGCGGCGGCAGCAGCAGTGCACAAGCTGTAATTGCTTCGTAATAATTCCGACTGTAAAGTCCTNACTCTCTGTTCCGCCAAACCGGTTACGATGATGCTCACCTGTGTTCACTTTTGTTGCTCTCTTCTCATCTTCTCATCTTCTCCGCTATTAAGCATCCCCCTCACACATTGCTGATGTGCACACAATGCTCTCATTTACCGAAGCGGCGGCAGCAGCAGTGCACAAGCTGTAATTGCTTCGTAATAATTCCGACTGTAAAGTCCTTGAATTAAGAACACTCTGGTGAGCATTAAGTAACCGCAATCGGCCATCAGTTGCATTCAAAGCAGGCTCAGTCAGGCGGTCTCCAGTGATGTGATTCTCGTTAGTGGTGCGAGAAGTACCCAGATTGCCCTGCCATCGATCCCCGAGGTCTTTCCATGTCATTAGGCAGCCGATCCTCTGTCCTCAGCAGTACGTGGCTTATAGTCTTTGGTAATTGCGGTGCACACTGAGAGAATACTGCATTGAATACCGAAAAACGCTGACTGAATCATTGTGCAATCATTTATGATGTGCACACCAAATGGACTAACTGCTGGTGCAGTTGGCTGTACAGTTGGCACCAGCTCTCACCACAGGTAGTACTTTGCAAGCACTTTCTCTCTCCTCTTTTTGCCTACTGAATGCTGAACTGCTGTACAGCAGCACTCCGGCGCATCCTCTTGTACGGCTGCACTGGGCCTCTT